TGACTGCTGGCGGGAACCGAGTGTGAGCCCCAAGGCAGAACGGGTCTAGTGACCCTGTAACCCCATCGGTGAGGCTTCATCGACCAATACCTTAAGTTACCCAAATTCCAAACCACGACCCCTAGCACATCATGATAGATTCAAGCGCATCCGCTTTACTGAAGTGGCGACGGATGCTTCTGACTCGGCATCACTTTTCCTTCCCTCTCCTCTTTACCACTTGACTGAGCCGATCCGATACTTCCCCGGATTCATACGGCGGAATAGTATCAGGCGTACACTCTTTTCCAAATACCATTTGACTCCAAGGAAGAGGTCTAGACCAAGATCCCCGTGAGTACAACCCGAAGCCACAAAATACTGTCATCTGCACCCAACGGTACGTTCGTTCTCAGTCACCAAACGAGGCTTGATGGATAAAGCTATCACCTTTGGGGGGAAGTCACCGACCGCCCTATCTGGTTGCTCTTCTCAGACGATCCCGAGAGCAGGGAAATATGGCTATTCCCTGTGCTGCTCTCACGTCGCCTCATGCATGTAAATAATTGGTTTGGTAAACAAGCCGAAAAGTGAGGGCCCTTCCCTGTACGATACGTTAACCAGAATATATTCCACAGAACGTGTAGCCCAACGCTTTTCTGTGAAAATATAAAATCGACAGTGAGATAGGTGTCAGAAAATCGAGTGAATTGACAGGGTAGCTACTTAAATATTTACAAGGAACTGCGAATGATAAAGCCCGTAGCCATTTCAGTTGACCACATGGCTTTAACTCTGATAGGATTTTATGCTGTTGAACGGCTTACGGACTGCGATCATAATAAGGATTAACAGTATTAACTGTGTCATGAGTACGTACTGCCCTATTGATTTATTTGTATGACATAAATTCCATAGCTCTGTTTCGACAAGCTAGTTGATTCTTGGCACGTCATAATAAATACAAGTATACTTTTACGTCGCGTTTTTGAAGGTCGTTACCGGATTGATAAAAACCCCCACGGATTGGCATTATGAAATCTCAGTACACTGAAAACAAAACTGCCTTGTTGGATAAGTAAGAGCACTTAGTTAAGCAGCTTGTAGTGATAGGTCGAAACGAAACAGGGCAGGTCACACAGAGTGCGCACCAAGGCTATGCATGACCATCCTGAACCAACAAACGAAGTAGTGCTACTTCAGACTTCAAAATCTGCAGGTGTAAAAGTTCGTGCTTATTGAACTGTAGTGTTATAGTGCGCCTGCAAATTCCAATGTTCTGATACAGACAGTTTCAATATGGAAAAAAAATCTACCAAAACTGGAAAGTAGGCAATGCGGAGCCAGTAGGAATGACAATACTTCTGAATATGCGACTGTTTGCGAGGATTCTAGAGTGGATTCGTAATGTAAAAGAGAATCGTTAGTGTTGCGATCGGAGGAGGGTGGGAGGGGGGGGTTGGGTGGACGCTGTTATCATGCAAATTTTGACTTTGTTTTTTTCCAGCTTATCCGAATTTACTTCATGGGACTATTTTTAAATAATTTTCTTGTGAGCATCATAATCCTACTTGTGTAAGTAGGAAATTTTATAAGAACGGTAGACAGTGTTATTTTTCCCGAGCAATAAAAATTAGCTGAGGAAGGCATAACAGTTACCAAGTTTCTCTGTTTTCTTTATTTTTCAGATGGGTAGGACGCAGGTACTCCTGGTACGAAATGGGTTCCCTTTGGATGGCCATGTGTGATTAGATGAGTTCGAATTATGAAGATCACTTTGCAAGCATACGCCTGCTTTCGATAAATTTGGGCCAGTATATTTATACAAAGGGGAAGGGGGAGGCAAAACGTGCAACCTTTTTATAAAAATACGTCATGGGAATTGGAGGGGGGGAGGCAGTGAAAAGAGACGACTGTTCAAGTGGCAGCGAGTGTTTGGTGGAACCTTTCCAGATGGGAAGGGTAGAAGAGGGAGAGGACGCGGAAGCTTGCATATAGTTGACCGGCCGTTGGCTATGCCAGGTGCAGAGCTTGCAGAATATACTTTTGTGCACGCATGACCAAACCTCCCAACCGGATAGTGGTCGTTTGTGTTGTTACTAACAGACACTGACCCAGGGACTTGGAGTAGTTAGGTAGTACCTTATAAATCATCCAGAAGGCTTTGCTGGAGTTCACACGATGTTTGGAATTAACAATGTGCGCGCGAATAGTGCCATCTGTGCTCCTATATTCACCCCTTCTCGACCATACTAGGAGATGTCTCCTTATTTTTTTGTATAGTCACCGAAAAAATCTTGCCAGCGCGCGGTTTGACATTTTTAAGCAAGTGGCTTATCAAGAGGAAAATACTTGTTTCCAACGAGAAAAGATAGTGTGCCAAGAACAACACACTTGGTTTGTGTACGAAGCAGGATAATCACAAAATTTATTCATTGAACAAACCGTACCGTCAGTCGCCACCTGGGTCTAAATTCGCTCAGTTACCTTCTAACAAGCAAAGCAGAATATCGCACAAACTCTCCCTAGACGAACTTGGACCAATGAAACTCCTACAACGCTTTCGCTGGGAAAATTCTCAGAAACTAGTACCCACGGAAGCGTAGGAGAAAAATATACAAAGGCTGAGTCACTCCCTTACATTATATCGCATCTGCTTTGATACCAGTTTTGAAGTAACTTAGTAGATAAGAATTAAACTAGCTCGGTTGTTACGCCACCTCTTATCAGCCCTGAAATAAGTTTACAAGTGTAGACATTTTTCTTGCAGTAAGTAAAATTCCTGTTTCCTAAATTTCACAACCAATCGTCTTAAGTAAAGAGATTCGACTTCTAACGTATTCTTACATTAGCAAAGCGACGATGTAGGCTTTCACATCTCAACCTTTTTTTGCTGAAAACACAGTTGTCGTGCGAAAATAATGCTAACTAGAAGTCAAATGCAACATTCGCCGAGAGAGGGATTTGAACCCAAAACCGCCCTGACACAAGACCGCGACGTTGACCACTGCGCTATCGCTGCACGGTGTAAGGGGCGATCGAAAAGCCTTACTAATTGGGTGCGATCGACGCACCCAGAAAAGTGGTGCGATGGATATCATATTCTAGCCTCTAAGTATGGTAAACTTGAGGAAAAATGGCAAATATGCAAGAACTCCTCCAGCAGACCATCGTTGCAATGGAAAAACTGACGGTTTCCAGGCCTACGCATGAACCACCTAAGGAACAGATGAGGGCGCCTATACCTAAAGTACAGGCCGCCATAGTTGACCATGTAGACACAGTTGACCCAAATTCGAACCCCCTCGATGTAGACAACAAAGAGGCGACTGTGTCATCAGCTAAAACTAAGGCAACCATTAAAAACGACAAGAGTGTGCCGAAACCTACAGTGAAGACCCCTACAATTGCTGTTCCTGGCCTCGCGAGCACCCTTATCGACAGCAGCAAAGTCCGTGCTGGCGAAGCATCGGCTCTAGCCAGTTCGAGCTCGAGGCCCCCTGAAGCGAAGGTGGCCAAAACTGTACCTCAGGACTCCGGACAGGATCGTGATCATGGTCTAGTTCCTCAGGGGTCGCAAGAAGCAACTTCAGACAGTTTAGACGGCCAAGCAGTCACACCATCAAGTCCGAGCTCCAGACTCACTGCAACAAATGTGGCGAAAACTGTATGTAAGGGCCCACGACACCAACAGGATCGTGAATACTGTCTAGTTGTACAGGGGTTACAAGAAGCCATTTCAGACGGCTCAAACGACCAGGACGATCCGGACCTGGTTTCCTCTAGTGATGTTCTGAGCCATCTGTTTTCGCCAGGTGAAGAATTCGAATTTCTGAAGTCATTTCGGATCGGGAAAAGGCCGGCAGATACCGCAGATGTTCCGCGCCGAGACCGCTAAAATTAAACTGAAAAACAAGGAACATGTCCACCTGATCTTGTCTAAAAAAAACTAACCTACGTCACTCGCATAAAACAGTATTTTTTCAACTGGACTAATCCCCGGAGAAACGGCTGAAACGCCGGGAACTAGTAGCTGAATTACAGTCGAGGATCAAGAATGGCGAACCAGGCCTGGCGATCTTCAGCGGGAAGATAATTCAAAAGAAAACATCGAACCAACCCGTAATACTCCTAATGACGGTCAGGACGTGACTGACACAACCGGATTACATCGTACAATGGAGCTAAAGTGCATGCACACCAATGCACAAAGTCTGCTCTCTAAAATAGATGAGCTTAAGATTATTATGTGCCACCTGGAACCAGGCGTCGTCCGCTTAACAGAAACATGGGTGTCCACGAAGGTAGGCAATCAGAAAATTGCCCTCCCCGGGTTTAAATTGTTCCGAAAAGATAGAGTCGGGTGTCAAGGTGGGGGTGTGCTAATCTATGTAAGACATGGCCTGCTCGTGTCCGACAAATCCGAAAACTTTGCGAGCAATATAGAGGCAATATGGCTCACCATTTGAACGCCGGAGTCACAAGCCCTTGACATCATGGCGGTCTACCGTCCACCATCAAGCATCCAACAGCCAGACACTAGTCTGGTAGAAGAAGTCGAAGAATTAGCTAGGAGATCCGACGTCATGATCATGGGAGACTTTAACGCTCCCCGTATTGACTGGAACGTGAGTTCTGCACTCGGCTCAGAAGTAAATTTTGATCGACGACTCCTGCGCTCAGTACAGGAATCTTTCCTAACGCAATACGTCTTATATCCGACCGGACTACGCGAAGGGCAACAAGCCAGTTGCTTAGATCTAGAACTGACCAAAGCGCCTGATAGGGTGGACGTCGTAAATTGTTTACCACCTCTCAGAAAAAGTGACCATATAGTACTACAGTGGCAGTATTCACTCTTCTCTGTGCCTCACCGTAGTGCGATAACCAGACGCAACATCTGGAGAGGGGCATTTAAACAAATGGAAACCACAGTGAGCAGGATAGACTGGAATGAAACATTCACCGGGTGCGTTCTCGATGATTGGTCGGCATTCAAAGCCGTATTAAACGGACTAATTACCGATTTCTGTCCTATCACGGTAAAGAAAGTAACAAATAGGTCTCGATGGCTAACGTTCATGCTGAAGAGCGAAGTAAACCGCAAACGAAGGATATGGCAAACTTATCTCAGAGAGAGGACCCCCGAGTCGCACAATAATTGTAAGGCGCAGAGAAACAGGGTTAAGAGCCTGGTACAATATAGCCGCCAAAGCTTCGAGAGTAATCTAATAAACCGTGCAGTTGGAAACACAAAGCTTTTCTACAGCTACGTTAGACAATGCACTCGAAATAGGGACCCCATTCCTCTGTTAAGAACAGACGACGGTGTAGAAGTTTACGAGATTAACGAAAAGGCGGAACATCTATCCTGCTTCTTTCAGTCGGTCTTT